CCCCCGCGCGGAGGAGCCCGCGGCGCTGCCCTCCCGCCCCGCCGCACACGCGTGTCCCAGGGCACCTGGGGCTGCTCCCGCTGGCGTTAGGGGCTTTGGGAAGGCTCTGGGGAAGCGCCCTCCTTGAGGCGCCTCGGGGGCTTGTCCTGACCCCGCGTGTCCGGCTCGGCCCGGCGCTGTCCCCGGAGCGAGGGACACGTGTGGCCGGCCGCCCTCATGGTGCGGTGCCCGCAAGGGCAGCTCCTGCTGCATGGAGCCCCATGCAATGACTGCCTGGGCAGAGGTGGCTCATGACCTTACCTGAGACCCCGTCCTTGTGTGGCTGGGAGATGGCTCAAATGTCTGTCACCTTTGGGTCCCTTGGCTGTCACCCCATCCTGGTGCCCAGCTGGGCGCTGGCTCTGCCGTGGCTGGGCACAGTGTGGGCTGCCAGCCCGGCCGCCTGCTGACCCCCCGGGGAAGGGAGCAGGACCCTGTGCCTGCAGAGCTGGCATTGCAGTGCCCCAGCTTGCCCTGGCAACGTGGAGCCAAGGACATGATCCCGCATGCCCATATGGGGCCTGGCAAACAGCCCATCGCTTTGCTGGCCCCACGCGCAGCGCTAGGGTAAAGGTCCCAGCTAGTCTGTGCTCCCGAAGTGAAAGAGTGACATAATAAAAACAAGGGGGCAAAACGCAGGGCCCGGAGGGTGTCTGAGCAGTGCGTGCCCAGGGAGCGGGCGCCATGGCAGACGGCGCCTCCGTTTCCTGGCGCGCGGAGGGCACCGGCTCCGGGCACGGTGCGCGAGGCCGGAGGCTCTTGTTTGCCTTGGCAGCGCCGCACGGCCCGTCTGAGCACGTCGCCCGACGTCTGGAACTCATTAGGGCTTGTTGCGAGGCCCCAAACTTGACTTTTCAATCACTGTTGCGCTTAATTAGTGCTGATGCGTTGCCGAGCGTGTTCTGGGGCGTTGCTGAGGAAATGGAAGCGGCGTGAGCAGGAAGGCGCCGTTTGGCCAGGGGCCGCCCGGGCTGGGCGCTGAGCGGCGGGGGCAGGGCAGGGGCCGGCACCTCGGCTGCCTGGGGCCCTTCCAGCTGGGCAAGGGCGGCAAGCGGCACCGGGGCTCGTCTGCCGCTCCCGCCCCCTGCAGTCGGGAACTATTTTGGAGCAGAAAACAACCCAGCTAATCTAAAAGCACTGTTTGGAGCCAATGTCAAGTTTTGCTCTGTCAATACAAATACTGTGGTGGTTTTTTAATCTTTTCCCCTCTTCTCTTATTTTTGTCCTTTGGTTCCCCAGGGTGGGATTTGCAGTGCTGCAAGGCAGAGGAGAGCTGGGCTGCTGTGACAGACCAGCTCAGCTTGGGGTGACGGGGCATCTCGGCTGTGCAGGGAATGCTGCTCAGCTCGGAGCTGAACTCTTGAGTCCAAAATTTTAAGCCTTATGAGACCTGGAGGAGTGAATGGGGGGACGCGGCTGCTCCCTGTCCCTACCGCAGTGTGGGGCTCTCCAGGGAGCCCCAGGAGCAGCTGCCCTGTTGCTGGAGCAGCCGCCACCGCTCAGGTGGTGCTTGTGCCTCCGAGCCGTCCCCAGCAGAGCCGCTGCAACAGCCCCGCTCCGTCCCAAACGCTCCCGGGCAGCGATGAGGATAGTAAACACTGCAAGTGCAGCGGAGTGCTCATCAGTCATCCAGATGTGCGGTGCTGATTGGGGTAAACGCTGTCGGTGGCGGCGCGGGCAGCGTCGCTGCCGCTCGCTCAGACCTCGGGCTGCTCCCAGGCAGGGGCCACCCCAGCAGGTGGCCAGGGCTGGTGCTGCTGCTGGCCACGGTGCCCAGGGCAGAGGCCGGTGCCTGCGCAGGGCTGGGAGCTCCTCTTCCCAGGAGCTTCCCCCGCTGGGAACCTGCCTGGTGCTCGTAGTGCAGAGCCCGGCTCGGCAGTGATGGAGCCGGAGAGCAGCGCGGGGTTAAAGAGCTGCTCCTGGGACTTGGACCTAAAGCGACTCCCATAAATTACAGTTTACAAGTTACAAAATCCTCCCCTCCTGCAGGGAGGGAGTGTCTGGAGGGTTTGTTTGGGCTGAGCTTTTTGTCTTGTCTCTTTTAAAGTGGGAAACAATATTTTTTCAGCCCTCCAGGAAAAGAGATGTTTGGATGTCCCAGCTCAAAGCTGTTCCTTCATATAAAGATAAAGGCTGAAAGAAGGGGGAAGAGCTCCTCTGCCTCTGTCTCAAGAGGGAAGGTCAAAGTGCATTTAAAAAAGTTGCTAAAATAGAAATTAATACCAGCTTTGGTTTAGGATTGCTGACCGATAGGGCAGGGTAGTTTGTTCATGCTTAACTAACTAGGTGCAATATTGCAGAAACTGGTACTGCAATTAATCTTCGACTTGATGAAAGGGGCATGGAAAATGAAAGCCCTTCTATGGTTTTGGGGAGGGGATAGGTGAACTCCAAATGGGCTGTAGGAACATTGGGAGTGCCTGGGTTGGGTGACTACTTGCAAGTCAAAACTAAGCATAAAAATACTAAGGAATGGGGTGAGGACTGTTGATGAACAGTTGGAAATAACAAAAATGCAAAGGCTTTCTCTGCCAATGCTTAATTCTGGGTGCTCTGTCCTACATCCTTCAGACACTTCTCAGAAGTGTGCACTTTTGCATAAGTTTTGCTTCTGCCTGTTACATGTTAAACCTCTTGTCGTGGTTTACAGAAATGCTGCTGCAGTGAAGCAACGTGCGGCTCTTGTGCTGAGAAGTGCCTGGAGTGGTGTTTATTGCTAGCGCAGTCGTGCGTGGCTCTTGGCTGCTCTAGGTGCTTGAGTGTGGATGGGAGATGTGGCAGGGAGAGGAGGACCGGCCTGAGCGCGGCTCTGCCGTGTCCGTCCCATCCGTTGTGCCCTGCTCCAGCTCTGCTCAGAACGGATCTTGGTCCTGGTGAGGCCTCGCTGGGCTTGACTCGTCACTTCTGACAGCTCCCACTGCACACACGGAAGGGAAGCTAAATGCGGCTCCATGTTCTCATGCTGGAAGTGTCTGGAACAACCGACTAAGGCAGTGGGTGGAATTCTCCCGGGGCTGGCTTAGCCAAACCTGTGTCCAAGCGCTCCTGACAGCATTTCTGTGAAAGAGCCTGTCCCTGGGGGAAACCAGTTTCCATCTTATCGGCAGGAGTGTGAGAGCAAAGTCTACCGAAAAGCAGGAGCGTCTGGCCTTGCTGCTGCAGCCCTATCCGTGGTGCACAGCCCTTCGGCTCCTGTGTTCATATCGTGGGCATTGCTGGCCACAAAACGAGCTCTGTCTTCATGTGCTGCCTGGAGCAATTTCACTCAAAAGCAAAAACTTTATTTTCCTCTATGTAAGAGTAGGTTGTATCAAGCCTGCAAAGGTCCAGGCAACAAAAAGCCCTTGTTCCCTCCTGCGTTCCGGAGCCTGCTCCACAATTATGCTGTGAAAGAGCACCCGGCAGTGCCAACTAAAACAGGGAGCCTGCAGAGGGGAAGCGGCTCCTGCCAACCGTGTGTCTTAATCCAGATCATCAGGATATAGCCACTAAGTAGCAGTAATTTCTTATTTAAAGTACTGTGTTGAGTGCCCTGACAGGACACAGGCTGCTGCCCCGAGGTGGCTGTGGCAGCCGTGAGCTCCCTTTAGCTGTTGGAGGGTGGCTGATTTAACAGACTTTCCCTTTGAAACTTCTGTCTGGGACATTTCTTGCATTTTTCCACAGTGCAGGGGGCTTTGGGGGATTTTTTGTGAGCGTGGCCAGAGCCCATGGCCAAGGCAGTGGCCGGGGGTTGAGCCCGTGATGCAGCAGGGCAGGACGTGGCGAGCAGACAGAGCAGTGTCCTGGGCTCTGTGCACGTGTCCCTTCCCGAAGGGCACATCTCTTAACTCCTGGTGTCTCGAGCGCCTTGGCTGCAGAATGAGGACAGCAGAGCTGCAGAAAGATTTAGGAGGTGCCGAAACCCGCTGGGAGCAGCTACTGCCGTGGGAGATGTCGCTGTGCGCCGGGGAGCGCCCGGCCCCGCTCGCAGCTCAGCCCTTCCTGCTGGAGGCAACAACCAGAGCTCATTAACCCAAGGGGATGATTAAGGCAAGATGCTTCCCCGAGCGCTCTGGTGCTTAGCACAGCTACTGCTTAATTAAATGTGGGTGGTTTCTTATATAATCCTATATGATTCATTCTGTACCCCTACAGCTTGTTTTTATAATTTAGACCAAGTGTCTGAAGCCTTCCTTTCCTGCTAGTGGGGAAAAAATCTGTTCACCTTATTTAAGCTTGCCCTTTTCTTATCGTTAATTCACACATTGTTACTGGCGGAGGGAACCCTGCCAACTATGTGCTCTTGGAGAGCAAGATATTTGCAGGGGCTCTGGGGCTATTATATCTCTGTCATCCTGTAGGCTGAAATCTGGCAGCTCTGTTGAA